AGGGTGCGGGGCGGGGAAGGGTGCGGTCGAGTGAGGGTGCTATGTCCGGGCTGGTTCATCCTGTAGAATACGTGTTTATTGCAAGCGCCCAACGTTATCCTGTAACTCTTGGTATATACACCATACAGTTACAGGACCATAAAATCTAAGCCTATAACTTAATTCTTGTTTAATTCGGTCCAGCCATTTCGGAGATTTTGATTTATTTATTTACATTGCAATCTTACAGTTAGAAAGTGACAATAATAGTAACAAGATAAACTTATAGCGTTAGTTTAACTAATTTGTGAGTCAGCACATGAAATATACATTTTTCATGACAGACAAAAATTTTAAAAATAGATTTTTCTTTTTACTCTGATTTTTGTTAAAAATAACGTGAATAACGATGTAAGTGCACAGCATCAGTTGCACGAAATAAGACATTTTTATATTGCTTACAGACACTCCATTTAAATAACTGTAGATAGAAATTGTGGTAATATTACTGACTGATTAGTATCTATACATAAGTGTCAAAATTAGCGTGCTGTCGCATCTCTCTCTATTGTTTGAAAAAACTGTGCCGGTATACTGGCACAACACTAGCCTTACCAAAATGTCGACGTCTATGTCCCCTCACTAATCATTCCGACACTTGATTTTGCAATGTAAGCGCGCCATTCGCGCCAATGTATTGTAATAAATAAATGTCTAAAACTATATACAAATATATGTACTAAATTCACATTACTCTATATAGGCTCGATCTGTTTAGAGTTTTCGTAAAGCGCCATCTAGTGTCTCACGGCGCAATAGATAGCCGGCAGCCGGCAGCCGGCAGCCGACAGTCATTTATTTACACGGCAGACGCAAGTCATAAGCCGACGGCGGCATTCATTCATTTTGATCGGCCATTGTTCGTTCCCGTAAAGTGTCAGAAGCGCCACGCCGTTGCGCCGTCCGGCAAGCGCGCGGTGCCCGGCCGCCTGCTACCAGGCGAACAGGAGCTTGCGGTGGCTGCGAGCCGCGGGCGGGAGGGGCGCGTACCCTGCGCGCGGAGCCAATCGCGGCAGCGCGAGCCCCGCCCTCGGGCGGTTCCTCACGTCCTGCCACTAAATCATGAGCGATGTCAATTATTACCTCCTCTCTGTGCCTCCGACGCACGCCGCTGTCGACGCACAGATTCAATTAATACCCCTAAGCCAATGCACCGACAGCGCTGCGGCCCCGGTGTCCGCAGGCCGCGCGTGCGCTCGCCGGCTCTCAGTTCTGTGCGATGGCTTTGTAACTCCGTGCTGCTGAGCCTTTTGAGTGGAACGCGACGCTACGCGGCGGCGCTGTACATTGGCACATGATAGTGTTGTGCAAGATACAAAGGTCATGAGATCCTATACATTTTATGAAATAAACACAATGATCTGGCAACCGACGCGACGTCTGTCCTTATCACTACTATACTGCAGAGTTCACGTGAAATCACATGACACTGCGGTCTCCAGAGAAGTTCTAAGGTTAAATGAATTGTTATAAAGTACCACTCGTCGAACATTGTCCTCGTCGTCCTCAGTAGGCTGATTGTTAACGTAGCAAACAAATGTAAATAAGATAGGAACAACCACTAATACGCCTACATGTTATGTATTTGTTCTTCAGATTTACTTTACAAGTGCTTGTTCATAACTTTAGGCGAGGGCGCGGGCGTGCGAGCGGTGCCGAAAATTCAAACATATACGTACCATAATTATCTTTACTACGCTTAAACCTAGTACATGCATGAACTTTATTATGAAACAAAGAATATTGTAGTACTTGTTATTGCAATAAATTAGATCCTCGGAGACTCCTCCGCTTTCTATGGACCTTTAGTTGTCATAAATTTCGAAGGTAAAAACGCTGCAGGAACAACAATTTACATGAAATAATAATTTCAAAACTGAACATTGATATAAATTGAAAACAGCAGCACGACACACAAAATGCCTTTATTTTTTGTTATAATTCTTACACAAAACTGTACATATTAGTGAGCTACAAGAGAGCTCTATTCGTGGCTACATTTCCGTTGTTCACACTTCCCGCGCGATTCTCTACGCTTTCTTACATATCCTTTTCTTTTTTAAACAAAAAAAGCAAATGTTCTGGCTATGCATGGCTATGCCACAACTTCGAAAGAATGTTAATTCTGTACTTGGAATCTAAAGAGTTTATTTGACTATTCTTCTATTCGTAATACGTATTTTGGTTCTAGTACAATCTCAAGATATATTTTGGAATAATGCGGATTGATTTAGCGGCAGAACTCGCGATTTGTTCGCGATTGATATCAAGTATATTGATATTGAATCATAAAATATCGGACATTCTATTCTTACATTAATAGCTCTGCTGTTGCGAAACTATCATGTAACCGCAGGACGGCGGACGTGCGCTGCGCTGCACCCGCGACACGACGTCACGTGACGTGACTTGCGTGACGTGACGTGACGTGACGTGACGGGTGTGACGCGTGACACGGCGCGGCACAGAATTTAGCCGTGCTCTGATCCCGTAGCGCGCGATGTCCGCCATGCAATGTGCGCTATGTCCGCTATGCCGGCACATTGGACGCTTCAATTAAAATCGATTCAACTGTAGAGACCACACCGCCTCTGCCAGTCACCGCCCGCGCCCTCTGCCACTGGACACCTATATATTCTAATCAGCTAGATGTTTGGAACATAGGAAACGTTTTTATGGTTCACATCAGTGGCGGGCAGAGGCTAAATAGATCCGAGCAAGTTATTTTACGGAAGTAATTCAAGTGCCAAAAAACATTTTTTTTTATTTATGTTTCATTTCCTTCGTAAAGTGGAGCTGAGTTACCAGGGTTACAAGAGATTTACACACTCGGCCGTCTTACGCCGGTTCAAAAAACCAATTTTTTTGTGTCAAAGTAGTTAAGTATGTCCACAGTAAAAATCAATTATTATATTTTTACCGACAATCGAAATACAATGCTACTTATTTGGACTGTTAGCTCCTGCTGCTTCTGACACCTTAGTCCACGCTCAAACCGTAGGTATGCTAGAGGAGTGATCAGCTCACCGTAACAACTGTTCTTTGTCGCAGGTCTGGAGGCGCAGGTGCAGGACACCTCTAAGGATTTGTACTGGTTCTGAGGGCGCACGCGGTGCGCACGTAGCGTGCTCCGTGCCCGGCGTGCTCCACGTGCTCAGCGTGCCGGGCGTACTAAGCGTGCGCAGTGTGCGACAGGCGTGCGTCACGGTTGCGTCCGCCGCCTGAACACTGCAAGGCTGTAAAGAAAGACATTACTCTAGTTGTAGGCATAAAGTTAGGTAGCAATCGGCTTAGACGTAGTTAAGCTTAGCCGACAGAAGCGGCACGCGCTGCTCCCGACGTTCCTGCCGCTCCTGTCGTTCCTGCCGCTCCTGTCTCTCCTGCAGCTGATGCAAACAGCAAGGGGTGGCAACATGGCAACACCCCGCATTCGCTGTTCTCAGCTAAAGTAAAACAACACTACGATGTTTCGTAACTTGATTATCTACCGTCACTCTTCTTCTATTCTCTTTTAATTCAAATAATACTCTGATGAATCATGTCCATGACAAACATTTTAGTGTTGCTATTGTATATAGAACTTTATGTTGTATGGGATAAGTTGTTTCTGCGACGAGTGGAAATGTACTGCTTTCATCTCGAGAGGTGCGGTGGGCGCGGTGGGCGCGGTGGGCGCGGTGGGCGCGGGTTGTCTGCCAGACAGTTTATATTCGAGCCACTGTATGTATATACATGTGTCGTAGCCAGAATAATTAAAAATACTTAGATTCCGGTTCCAATAAAGGACAATTGTAGCTATCACAAGATTCAAACTTTACGTCGGCTCGCGCTAATCCATAAAGCTAATCAACGTCATTGGTCCTTCCGCGCCGATAACTAAGATTGTACGTTACGCAGCGTGTCATGACAAGCGACATGAGAGCCGGTATAAAGTTTGATTGTCACTATACTTCACAGCAACCATAAGGCATCGTGGCATGTCACGGGAGCGGCAAGGGCGCGCAGGAGATGTATAACGCGCATGCGCCCGATAAAATTCGGTGTTATTTTTTCCGCAGCGCAAGATAACTGTAATTGATAACAATTCTTCGTTGGCAATGACAAATGCAGAAAGGCAGGCAATGCGTCAGGGGGGTGGTGCGGGGTGGTACTGGGCGGGGGCAATACTTTATTTAACCCATATTCAATTGTTCCATTATACGGCTGTGCAAGGTATGCAGCGAGTGCAAGTTGTTGACTTCATGTCGCCAGTGCGCTGCGCCCCGCATGCCCCGCACGCCCCGCACGCCCCGCACCCAACCACTAGGTATCCAATATATAGACAAGTATGTAAATACATACCTATAGCTAAAGGTGAATAAATAGGTTAGATATAGTTATATACGTAGTTATTTGGCCCTAGGGCGCTCAGTTGTACATAAGGCGTAGGGCGCAGATGTGAGCGTCGTGCGTCGTGCGGCTTGCGGCTTGCGGCGTGCGGCGTCGTTAATCGCACCGATCTCCACTACAATACTTATTGTATCCATGTTAATTTCATCCGTGGAGAAAACATCGCTTCAGCAAAACACTTGTATGCACTGGATGAACATGTTTTAAACTTAGGTACCGTTGTAATTACCTACTTATATTAGAACTTAAAAATATACCCCAATTGTAATATACATACAATATATGTGTGTCACTACGAGAGCCATCACGCACTGCCGCGGATCCTAGCATTCACCAATGTACGATAATATTTAGCAACTAGTTGTGGTACCTAATGGTAAAAGTACGAAACTTTATTTGATCTCTGTTTATTTCGAGCATTAAATGTTAAAATTGACTTTAAATTTTTCTTCACAAGTATAGATGTATGGCATCATGTATGGATTCACATTACGTTTTTTAAAAAAGTTAGCATTATTTTATAACATAATTAATATTATTTTAATCCATGTAAAACTTAACAAAAATAAATTATCTCTTAAAATTATTTTTATAATAAACAAAGGCCACATAGCATTTCGGTCTTTTACCAAAACTAGATGGTAAATATTAGGATTTATCGGAAATGGTTGTCTGGCTTTACAGTAACATACATATATATATATATATATATATATATATATACAGCGTGTTATACGAAAAATGTACCAGAGATCATCAGCAATACTGCAATTATTGTATTTGTAATTCGTAATAGAATAATAGAAGTTCTATGATGTTTGTTTGTGCTGATGTCGGTTGCGGCTGCGGTTGCGGCTGCGGCTGCGGCCGGCGACCGCGCTCAATGCAATAAATCTATCAATTTCAATGCAAACGATCTTTTATTTGTCACCTCGCACACACACCCGCACACACGCACACACACATTATCAACACTATGCAGATACATACTTCCTGCTAATCCTATCATATCCTATATTTCATTTTTGTCCCCGATACGTTCTAAACAACCGGACAGATAATCACAGTTGTATAGCGGGCAACAGCATGTCGCTGCGCGGCGGCGATGTCCACACAGAGGACGCGCATACAGACTAAGTGATTACTCGCACAGTCTGGTGAGCTTGTGGAAGTCTGGAGGCTAAATTTTATTCTTCCTTCTATTATAATTAATAATGGGAACGGGAATTGAATTGAGCAGGCGAGGAGACGTGATGGACAAACCAGAGATATGAATACAGCGATTTGTAATAAGTATAAAATGAAATAAAATAAGGATTAAGCTTTACGTAATACATTATAATAATGTATTGTTACTTGTAGTAGTAGTAGTAGGTCACTCATAGTTGGCGGCGGCGGCGGCGGCGGCGGCGGCGGCGGCGGCGGCGAAATCACTGGATGTGTTCGCGTCGCGAGCGGGTGTGTGCAGCACGTGCGGGGGTGTGGGTGCGGAGGAGGCGCGGGGGTGCAATCTCCTCGTCTATTTCTATGCTGTCGTATCGTTAAGTAAGCCGCTACTTAAATATAGCGGCGCCGCACATTGTGAGCGCGACCACTTCATCACACGTTAACGCATGTCTCCGGCTTTTGTATTTTTAAGTGCAAGGGATTTGGATGCGTTAAAATAAACAATAGCCTCCGCCGCGGTTTCGGCAGCGCCATTAGCCGCTGTTTGTAAACACGCGGCGACAATGAGCCGCAAATACAGCACTCCCGGCCGCATTCCGCGTCTCCGCCCCCCCACCCTCCCCCGGCCGCACAATAAATATACATATTATAGCGCGATGAGGTAATTTGTCGCGCCGCCTTATTTATGCTAATGAGCGGCGAGGCAATCAGAGCCCGCGGCAGCGGCAGCGGCGGCGGCGAGGCGCGCGGCGAGGGGCGCGGGTCAGACACTTTCCGCTCTCCCTGTGTAGCTACCTCTCCCGCGACTCTCTCATATTAACTACACATTTACATATGTAAATAATAAAAAGGAACAGGAACCAAAGTAAATTCACTATGCCATTATACTATGTATGTTAACGGGGACACCTTTTTGTCCTTACAATCCATAGACTACAGTAGATACAATTTGATAGCACTTAGGAATTAAAAATAACTTGTACTTCTGTGCTAAATTTCACCGAGATTCGTTCAACTGTTCTGAAGATGTGTAACAAACATCCATCTATTTAAACTTTTGCATTTCTTTCATACTTCATGGAATGTAAGATTTACATATATGTAAACTAGCTGTCGCCCACGACTCCGTCCGCGCGGGATTAAAGAAAAAAACTTAATTAATAGTCTATTGTGTTCTTCCACATTATGTACATACTACATCTATGCCAAATATCAGCGAGATCTATGCAGCTGTTCTGGACATATGTACTTACAAATAAACAGCCATCCATTCAAACATTCGCATTTATAATATTAGTAAGATATATAAACAGAGAGAGACATACCAATAAATAATGCTTATTGTCTTGGTGGTTCATAGAACATAACAAGTAAAGTAATGTTAGAGGAGCTGGAGTGCCTTATTGTCCGTCATAGCACAGCAGCAAGCCAACGTCGACCCGCACCGGCCGCACTGTGCCGTGTTGTGTGCCGTGCTGTGATACCTACGAAAGAGAAAACATTAAGATCCTATACCAAAGTCGAAAAACGGGCCATTATGTTACCTATAACACTTATAGATCTGTCAGATACCTAGTTCAGCAGACTTTCGAGGTCAGAAAAGTGACTGTTTGCTTGTTTGTTGTGTTGTTGACTTATTCAGCAGACTACCCCGAGACGATAATGTCTTAATTGAAAAGGCGGCGGCGGTGTCCCGGGAATACTGAGCGGCTAATTGAGTGCCGCCTCCCGCCGCCCTGCGCCCGCCGCCCTGCGCCCGCCGCCCTGCGCCCGCCGCCCTGCGCCCGCCGCCCTGCGCCCGCCGCCCGCCGTGATTGATTTCGACAACAAATCGAAAAGAGTTAAAAGAATGTTGCTGAAGTCTAACTTTTATTTCATCAGAAATTCCTTGTTTTGTTACCAGAGAAATTTTATAATACTCACAATATTTTACATTATATGAATGAAAAGTTCGAGCACGTAGGGTTACCTCCCTACATAATATGTCGAGCTCGTTGATAAGGAATCGAAAAAATAGAGTGTTCAAAGTCCGTCTGTGGTGCACGTCAGGCGTCCGCGCCGCCCAGCGGCAGGTTGCAAGGGGCGGACGAGGGGCGGGCGGCGGTAAATCAATTTGCGGCTTGTGTTAATGCGACAACTGAGTGTTATTTATCGACGTACATAAATCGCGCCAAAATAATCGGGCGCCATTAAAAGCTAAAGCCATTCGAATACACAAATATACAAAGAGTGAGTGATAAGTGCTAGGGGCGTATGCTGATGTTGCTTGTGACAGACAAGTGAAGTCTGTACCCGTATCTAAATACTAATATTGTGTCACATGTTTACATTGAACATCTGTTAACATTACACACACAGAGAGAGAGAGAGAGAGAGAGAGTCGAAGTTGTCGAATGATAAGTGACTGGCCACTCAGTCGGTGGTCAGCCATTATAACATCACTAAAGTCTAATAACGGGAATGAAATCCACGACCACGTGATCAGACGCTCTTCACCATTAAACTATTGGCGATACGCAATCTATTCATAAATTACGTAGTATTTACACTTTACTGCCAACTATATATTTTGTAATACGCCTACATCGAGATAGCATCGTACGTATTTTATTGTCCAAAATCTTTAATTAATCCAAGAGTTAATTATGTCACTAAAACAGTTTAATAGATGTCTGTTGGCAAATAGGTTTTATGATTTATATCAAAATATGTATCCATGTGCATCAGTAATTCGTGCTCAAAGACAAAGGCACCATGTAGTGCGGAGAGCGCGCTGCAAACTGATCGCTCGCTGTCACAAGCGTCCTGTATCATTTTGTTTCACTAATCACACACTATCGGTTTAACGTGGTGGATATAAATCGTCATGCTAATTATATTACAGGCCGTTAACTCGACGCGGCGTGTCAATACGCGAACGTGCAGTGCGGCGCGGCCCGGCCGGCGCACGTGTGCAGCGGCGGCTCGGCAAGCACCCGCGCCCTCACAAAAAACCCGCTCGGCGCTCGGGTGTCACACGGTGCCGCCGCTCCGACCATCTGCTACCCACCCGCCTCCGCCTCCGCCGCGCCCTCCGGCTCATTAACTTAACTATACTGCGTTTTGACAGTGAGTGCCTTACGATCTGTGTACGGTGTTAAATAACGCTTCGACACGAGCGACGCAACGAGCCGACGACATCTCTATGTCATGTTACAAGTCAACCAACGCAACGCAAGAGAAAGGCGAATTTTATGTTTATAAGTTTATTTAGGTTATTGAAAATACTTTGTTATAAAGA